GTAAGGATGTACAAGAAGCCGAGTGCATGTGAGTAGGGATGTACAAGAAGCCGAGTGCATGTGAGTAGGGATGGGCAAGAAGCCGAGTGCATGTGAGTAGGGATGGGCAAAAAGCCGAGTGCATGTGAGTAGGGATGGGCAATTGCCAGATTAGTTTTACAGAAACTTTTAATGCTTTTAGACTTTCAGAAGGTTTTACGACAATATTTGAATATATGAGAAGGTTCCAACATTTGAAACTCTAGTCTGTAGAAGTTTGCTTTATTCAAACATACAAATGTGTTACCCTAGAAAGAAAATATAAGGAAACAATCGTTTTAAAACGATAGTTTTTGGGTTTTTAAAACGAAAGCTTCTGGGTCGTTTTTACCTTATATTTTCACCTTAGATAAAAAATTTGCATGTTTATTGAAGGCAAACTTCTACATAATACAATTTTAAATCATTGGACGAAGGGTCTGATTGTTGTAAAACCATAGATAAATAAATAAACATAGATAGCTTATGTACGCAAAATCACCAAGAATTGTACAGTCCGCGAACTCACACTTCTAGGGGTACAAAGTGTACTCTAAGGATAAGCTGGATGGTTTGGTATTTTAATGGATTTTATAATAGAGTGTAAAATAACTCCGGGAATGGAACTATTTGAACAACAATATTTCACTGAGCAATATATCATATTGACGAGAACTGAAAAAGGACATGAGAAGGACTACACTAACTTAAATTTCTCTGTACTGTTTCCGAAAAAACAATGATATTCTCGCGGTTTAAAATAATGGTTTCGTCTCAGGGACTTTATCTAATAACTAGGAATAAAGGGACAACTATCATCTTTTCTTTTTCACAAATATTTATTAATAGTTTAAAATTAAATCCAGGTTTCTCTATTTTTAGGTTTGGTATGGGGACTCGGGGTGAGCTTGGCTTGCGGGGCAGACATCCGTGACTGACTCTTTCCAGGCTGAATCTAGGCCGAGATCAAACCAATGCCTGAGTCAAGAATTTTATCCAAAAGGCTTCTGCCAGCACAATCCCACCACATGAATCAGGGGTGAATTTTAGATTCATCTCTAACCAATTCTAAAATAAGAGAAAAAGCAGTATCATTTTTAGTAACGTCAACATACAATCTAACCATTCCAATCCATTTTTAAATTCTTTATTATTCCTCCTCAAACTTTCTGAAAATGTATTTTCCTCTTCTAAGTTGATTTTCCAGAATAGAAAAAAGAGTTGTAAAAAGGGATTAATATTCCTAGTTTAAAGATTTTGATGTTTCTGAGAAAATATAGTATCCCTGTACAACCTAGAAAAAGAAAAAATGTTAATAAATTCGGTGCTATCTCATTTGAACTACTGCCGTTTGAACTATTGTTCATTTGAACTATTGTTCATTTCAACTACTGCACGTGGGACCACGTGAGTAGTTGAAATGAACAATAGTTCAAACGAGTAAATATATTGCTCATTATAACCATCGAGTGTTTCATCTTCTTCAACACCTCGATGCTGAGGGGACCCCTGTGGAGACCCTGGATTACCAGCTGACTGCCGGAAACTCTGAAGACCAAACCAAACATATTTATTCAATATAATTTTTCTCATGTTGTAAGTTAGACAAAATATATACAGTTAGTCTCGTTTATATCTTTGTTATTTTGCGTCGCTAGATTGTTTTGTTTTTGATTTTTCGTCGTTGTTTTCATAACGAAATGATCGTTTTCTGAAAATGAAAACTTTAACATGTCTAGATCTAAGTAACAACCTGTGTGAGTCCACATACATTCATATGTGGGCTATGCCTCTGTATACTTATTTAAATTCAATTTAATTTAAAATAAAATTTATTTTAAACTAATTTTAAAAAGAATGGTGAAATTTTTTCTCAAACCTTTGAATCTTCTTTTTTTCGATCATAACTCTGTTTTCAGGTCTTCTCCGTTGTTAGATCTCACCTCTGTATAATTATCATCAACCACAGTTTAATCCATCACCATCACCGAATTTTAAATTTACGTTTACCTCTTGTTATTAATCTCCAGATTAATTAACAGATCGAGATTAAGGATATCCCATTCTAAAGGTTTCAGCTCATGTCAGTTCAATGAGGAACTGTTTACTTTTTGTAATTTCTTCTCAGCTAAAACTAATAAGATTTAGATTTACAAGATGCTGAGGGGGAATACTATACTGGACATAAAGAAAAGAAATGTAAAGAGATGAAAGAATATTAACATGGAGTGGAAGGAATATTAATGTGGAATGGAGAGATTATTAACCCTTCAAAGGCTGGGTGGTTTGGTGCCGCCACCCCCCCCCTGGAAAAACGCCTTAGAGAATAGGTATAGGGTTAAAATGCAGGTTATCAGGTTATCATAAAAAATAATCAACCCCTTTTAAGGATTATGATTTATTGTTTCGCGAGCTGATCTGCTGACTCACAATATCCTAGAGTATCAACCTTGTCATGATCTGTTATTGGGTGATCGCAACCATCATTAATTCTCAGATTCTCTTGGATACAACTCTTCTTCTTTTAAAGTCTTTTTCGAAAATAACAGTGCTCAGGATAATGACAGATGGGTTCTATTTGTAACAGATTGCCCAAATTAGTATTTTATTTAGAAACAAATGAGTAAATATAGATACAATATTGAAATAAATGAAGTAATATACAAATTTTGTCACAAGAAATGCGATAACCTTCAAGATCTTAGAACTCAGTTTAATTTAAACAATCCAAGGATAAAAGAGTTCATTTAACAGGTAAAAATAATTTAGTTAGCCTAATAAGTACCTTAGTGAGTCGTAAACAAATCACAACGTTATCTCTGCATCTAACTATCAAGTTTAACTGACAAGAAATGGCAGACACAACATAAATCTAAGGTAAAGTTTTAAAACTGGTTTCAGTGCTGCACAATAGACTCGTTCTCCCCCTCAACTTTATATATATATATATACATATATATACATTTTATATATTTTCATTTAAGCGATAAATATCAAAAATGCTTATAAAAACATTTCAAATATTTTATACATTTTACATAAAGAATGTTTTCTGGGACCATATTAAAAGTTTTGAAATCATTTAATTAGGTCAGTTTGATTGCAGTGATAAAAATAGGTCAATATTTGACCGAGACAAAATTACTCCAGCTTCCAGATTGTCTCATCAATCTCCACTGGAGATGATGGAGAACAATCAGTAGTTAAGCCATGCTTGTGGGTATATGTAATGAAAGAAGAACTTTGTTCTATGATGTTAATGACCATAAACTTAAACTTTATAACTTTGAATAAGCATGACATGGCTGATGACCCAACCTTCAAAGTATGCCAGGCCCACCGTTGTGCTTGGATATAAATGTCATGTGATTGAAAAGTATATTTTTTTTTAAATGTAAAGGAATGCTTAAAAAATTTAAGTTATACATTACACACAAAATCTAAGGAATTCAAAAAATTTATAAATTCCAATAATAAAAAATTTCATAAAAAATTTAAATTTAAACTTTAAATATTCCCTTGAGTTTTCAGTAAAATAATTCTATTGTGTGTTGTTTGAAACTTGATATTTGGTTTAAAACTGTTCTATTCTACAGGAAGCCGAGTCAACTTATCCGGAACTCAATTCTTAGCAACCACATGGATATTTGGCAGGTTCAAACATCATAAACCGGTGTTATGCCTGCAGAGAACTCGTACCTGCAGCGAACTCTGGTTATGCACGCTGCTAAGCTCAAGTTTCTTGAAATGTAAACAAACAAGAATAATTTAGTTTATTTGAGTTTACGGCTAATTTTCTGTAATTGATCCATCGTTTTGATGCATAACATCACTGGGGTCTGTCCTAGAAAACACTTTTTGACCCCCCCCCCCCCACCGTACACTTTCCTCTCAG